CCCCCCCCCAATGAATCAACTTAGTAGGGGGTCCCGTCTGCGCTAACCACACAGCAGTCTCAGTTGCAGATAACCGGTTCAAGCGCATGCGGTCGAATACTACTTCCAAGTGTTCAAAGTATATACACATCCGACTGCATTATTATGGACACATAAGTCGTCGAAATAGGTGTGGCATGGATGGCCGCGGCACAAGACGAATGAACGCAGCAGACGCGTTGACAGTCCATGTAGCATAACGAGCCACTCCAGAGCCTCCACTCGGAATGTTCACCGAAGTCAGAGCGATATTACCTTCTCTCATAAACAGTTGATAACTTTATCAACTATGTCATAGGCACTCACAAATCACAGCCGACATTGCTCCTTTGTGGGATTGGCGTTTGCGTTGGAATAAAGGCTGTGTTTGGCTCTGAGCAACAGGTCACTGTAGACGCACTCCACGATCAGGTTGGTGGGATTCTGGCCGCCAGGTCGTATCAATTCGTCGATAATGGACAAAAAGGTTTCTCGGGGCTCTCAAGAAATGCCGCCCCCATCTTCAATTCTGCGTCCTGTAGTATATTTTTAAAGTAGGGTCATCCATGACGGTAGATCCACTCGGCTGATTCTCTGGTTACAACCGTTAAGTTCACGAGTATACCGTCGTGTCGTTTGTTGTGAGCGTCCCCTTGACAAAGTTACTAGAGCTCAACGCGAGCTTGAAGTGAAACTATATAAATACCCCAGTCACTCTGGTTAGAAATCTTCTCGCGACAGACCCGTGTAGACTCAACTCTCTGCACACAAGTCGTCACATAGTAATACCGACTTAGCAGTATCATAAAAACACCGTGACATGCATGATGAAAATCTAATGACCTCAGCGTCTATTCCTTCAACAGTAGCCCTCTTCACGTCGCACGTACACGACATCGGCTTTGGCATAAGAGACCGCGATGCAGAGTCGCTCTTACTATTCACCCGCTCAGGTAACCGATAGGCCAGCTATATTAAGTCCCATCAGAGGTCAACTTTGGGAAATATGACACATCGCTTGATCATGCCTCAGCGGAAACTCACTCTATAGACCCGAAATATGATCGCTCTATCTGACATATCTTGAGATTGTGGCCAATGGCCACTTCAGCATTTGTAGCTCTGTCCAAGGCACTAAGCAAAACATTACAAGACATTTCGAGCAATTTCATGTCTTGCATCGAAGGTTTCATATCTTTTTGCTCGCACATATGGTTTCTCTACTATCTAGAAAAGGTGGGTTCATGACTCACCAAAGCTTCATCAAGGGAAAAGTGCGTAGCACCTACAGTTTTTTACTTCCATCCGAATCAAGGCTCATGGCGCTCACGCAATACCATACAAAAGAGAAGTACTATTTGAATCCAGATCTAGAGTGGGAAAACGTTTCACGCTGTCAAAACTTCTCAAATTCGCTGGAAAATCTGAAATAATCCTTGACATTTCAAAAATTGTCTTTTTGGAAGATGCTTGTAAAAATTATCCCTATCTGGTATCTTTGATGACTCCGCGTATGGTCTTCTGTTTTGGTCGTACGTAATTGCACGATGATCCAGTTTCTATCGGGACTTTTCACTGTCTTATAAGGTTACGATTGACGATCAACTAGGCCATGAGCTCCACTTCTTTAGGACACAGTCGCTCTTGTACGATTGGTTCCCATAAACCCCGATCTTCATGAGGTACGATAGCGCGTAAGTTCCTCCCTACTTGGCAACTCTATCCCCACTGGATTCAACGTATACGGTGAGGGCTCGTTGGACGACCTTGCGTGGGATCTCGACCCTTCGTAAATCTCAGCCAAGAGAAGTGGACACGCATGGTGCGTACATTTTGTACTCCCACGTATGTAACACCTACGAGAACTATGGAGCTGCTCGAAAGCACACCCAGTTTGTATGGAGCGTAGAGACTCATTCTCTATATTTGCGCATGTTTGATAAGTGTATTCTTTTTCTGTGTGATGTGCACAACAATTCGCAATATGCACATGACTCCTGAGAATCCTGCTCACCGATGGGATAAAGTAGTCGCGGAGAAGCAGCAGTATTTTTGACTATTTACTACTCTTCTATCTACAAGAGCACTACAACGAAATAGCAACTGCTCCACCATTCGTTTTCCACCTCACAATAGCGACAGATCTTCTTGGCAGCAAAATTATCCTCATTTGATACTTACGATCACTGTCATGGAGAATCTATCGGAGAAGATGCTGCTAATGGGCAATATCGATATGCGAGCAATTTTAAATTTCGGGACTACTTTTTCAGATATGAAAGGATACTATAGTCCTCACTAATCTGCTACTAGCCAAATTTGATATCGTAAACCTTTGGCAGTGCACATTTCAATCTATCTGTTCAGCAGGAAGAATCAGAGCTGATATGGAGTCGGAACCTGCCGAACTAGACATTTGTGACGAAAATTTAAAAGAACGAGATGTACTTTTGCTACAGGCGCACACAAATTCAAAACGTATAAGAGGGCGTTACAAAAGCTAAAGGGAACGAAGCAGACATGAATAGATTCAGCGACCAGAAGCTGAAAGGTCTTAGTGCCCGTCTGAGTGCTCCTTCTAAAGGAAAAAATATGTGGAAGAAAGCCTAAAAAACCAAGGCGAAAAAAGGTGCCAAGTGAAGCGAAAGAATTAGAAAAGGTACATCCATAAAGCGAGACCGAGACGATATTTTTGGCCGCGAAAACACAGATAGCAACTTTCAGCCGAAAATTCCGTTGACCACAAATTGGCATTCGCTAGAGCTAAGAGAAAAAAATAGGATGCGTTAGAAGTAGATTAACAAAATGGTCAATGGATTACGTCTGTCATCAGAAAAGTTTGATGCAAAAAACGAGGCTCTGAAGACAATGTTAGTCAAGGTTTACGAGGAATTTGACTTGATTTTCGGAGCACTGCTGCCTGGCACGCCCGCAAAATTAGGGTGACTGTCGACTACTTCTCTCTTGCCGTTAATCAAAATTGGCGTGCTAACTGTTTCTATCAAACGAGGGACCAGTCTTGTGGACTTAATTCAAGTGCGCAACTCTTGTGGTGGCGTCTCGGATAAAGTTTGAAAGAAGCGAAGTGGCGATCAGCGCCCACTGCTTGCGTGCTCATTATTTCTTCATTTGTTGCTGCTTAAGCCCGAGATCGACAACTTTTTCATTCGCTCGTAAACTTCATAGAATTGGATTCACGAACATGTTCGCTGAGGAAACAACAAGTCCTGGACCCGGTACTGATATCCATGCAGATATTTATCCTTCACAATGATATCCATGCAGATATTTATCCTTCACAACGGGCTCTTTTATTCAAATTCGATAATCCAGCTTTTCAAATGAGCGGCTTTGACGCAATATTATCGATAGAGCTTCATACTTTTGTTCATTAGAAAATATATCTGTCAATTATTATTGAAGGTACGTTCGGCATAAACCGTGACGATTTCTTTTCTCCGACTTCTGTACTCGCTTGTGCTACCAAAATGCATCGATTGAATTGTTGTGCTATCAATTGGACAGTGTTATCATCTGACAATCTATAGATGATGGTAATTACCCAAGAAAATCATGGGCTCTGCTTTTTTGGATGTAAAGCCTGTGCTGCTAGAAACTATGTTAATTCGATGGCGCGACACCTTGGCAGAGCTCTAATCCTATCATATATTAGGACTGACAGTCTCTTCTTCCGTACGTTGCTTGTATACCATCTAAAACGTGCTAGATACTGCAAGCTTCGACGGCGAATTACATACCGCCACCTATAAAACAACGAATACAAACCGACCCTATACTAGAGAGCGCATTACACGGTCTGCTTCAGGGAACAAAAGTTTCAAAAATGGATCTTCAGTCAACATAGACTTCACAACATCCGTGGGTTCGTGTCGGTAACGCTTCTGCCACTTCTTGTGCTTTTTAAGAATCTGGTGAGCTGTGCTTCCTTGAACACCGTCCTATCAAAAATAGAGTGCTCAGCCATTGCTATAAATCTCAGACAATTCATGCGTACATTTTCGAGCGCATTCAGGATCTCGATCGCTTCAGCGCGCACTATACGACTTTCTTTGACTTTTCCAATGCTGCTCGGAAAGTCCAGCATATTCAGAAGAAAGTCAAACAAACCTAGACGATTTGCAAGATACACGATGCCTGAACTTGTGTCTTGATCGCCGTGCTTAGGGTATTCCGAGACAATCCGTCGTATAATGTCAAGTACAAACGCGCTCTCAAAATGAAGAGGTCCTCCTCGATCGGGGTCAACGAGCGCCATCAAGCAGGACAATGCTGTGGAACACATCGGCTGCAATGATTCGATGCATGTTTGAGACATCATACACACTCGAAAGATTCGAACAACGTTGACCACGCACGGCTCGCACACTTGCGATCGAACTGTTCCATTTAGGTAAGCGCAGCACTTCACTGGAATTTGCAGTTCTACAGCATTTTCCATCAACCATGTTTCATACTGAGGTCCGACGGAAACAATTTTGCACTATTATGCTCGTGATATAATAAGAGGTATGAAAATTACGAGCTTACCTGAAGTAAACACACTATCGATGATCCGACGAGGTCGATCATGTCAATATCACTTTCAATTAACTCGTTTTCTTCACGATCAATTGTCAAACGTTGTGCAGATGTCATAATTGCGAGCTGCCTGAAAAGAATTTCGAACTCTGACCACAAACACGTCAAGAAATGTCTGAAGACAAATAGCAAACATAGTCAATCAGTACGATCACAGTATTTGCCAAGACTTACGGACACAAGTTACGCACAGAGGGTCGTGCACATTGAAAGTTGGATCTTTCATATACAAGGACAGGTACACGTTGCCTGCCATGGGGGCTGAATACAGGTCGGAATAATCGATCTCAAATGAGTCAACTACTGACGTGAAGGTCTCACTCTTTTTATTGGTAGTCACCGATGTCGAAGAAAAGTAGATAGTAAGAAAATTAGCCACATTGTTCCGCAGACGGTCGCGAAAGGAGGCATTCCACACCAGTACAGGTGTCATGTGATCAGTCTACAAATAAGGTTAGCAAACACCTGTAAAATTCTAATACAGTTATAGCCGCAATCACAAAATTATACCATAATGTACTCTAAGATGGTTTCCGGGCTAGAAGCAATTGTTCGGACAATAGCCGGCGGAAAAAAGCGAGAAAGAGCCTGTCTTGACTCAGAGCATAACGGTGCTGAATCTTTGATCATCTCATAGAGAATCATCACTGATGGAATGCGCAGACCTTCGGCTGCGTCAAATTTGTCATCAATAATTGTTTCCTCCACAAGCAACATCCAGCCAATGAATTCTAAGTAAATTCCCGATTGAAGGATCTCCGAGACACATTTGATCGCAGCTCCATTCGCACAAAAGTTGCGAATAATCTCAAGTGCGTCAGGGCCAACGTCTGGGCAAATATGAATCAGCTCGACAAGAATGTAACAAATACCAATTCCAAGTGCGGCAAAGCTAAAGCTGTCTAACTTCGACAAGACCTGAAGTGTCGAAATGCAGTGCAATCTACACGGGAGGTAAAGCTGCTGAGTCAGCACAAGACAATTTTCAGCGTCTTCACTCTGCTGTACTTTGTTGCCTGGTGGGTATGAGAGGCGCAACAACATCTTTATAGCGCTATCATTGCCAATTAGACTCGTTTCTACCAGCATTGGAGCCACTGAAGCGGTTAGCGATAAACAATTTAGAGCGGTCACTCGTTCCATTGTTGTCCGCTGCTCTTCGCCGACTTTCCAGCCAGCATATGGAGGGAGTCGCTCAATGATTCCGTCCTTGTTAATAAGTTCTGGAAGCGAAAGCTGTCCACTATCAATAAACAAACACAGCTCCTTAAGAAATTTTTCCGTAAGTCCCAGATTTTCAATGGATACTGGATCCGAGCTTTTCTCAATGACTAGAAGGTACGCCATCAGCATTTCAATATAGAGACCACCGACACAGAAAAGATCTGCCAGATTGATAAAGCGAAATCGGATGGCATCGACGTAGTTCTCATTTGTCGTCAAGGTGGGCTCTACAGAAGCCCTCGCAGAGACAAATTTTTTCAGTTCGTGTCGCATTTCACTGTTCCAAATTAGCGTGTAAGACTCAAATTCTCCATGAAAGAACTTGAGAAATTCGTGATGGCTGCTCAGTAACATTAGTTCAGACAAGCTTGGAGTCATCAGGGCATCTACAACCTGTTTGACTAAAAGATTGGGTGGCGTGAGCAATCCGCTCTCATCTGAGAGCAATCCACCTAGTCTACATAAAGCACGAACAGCCATAATAGCTAATTGATTTCGAGCCTCCACAACAACTGTCATGTATCCTTCAACCTCTAGAGTATAACTTTCGTGCAGCCGGGTTTGAACAGTAGCGTCGTCCAGTTCTGTATTGTACCTTGAAAATAGCTTAATTAACTGCCACAAGACGCCAGCTTGAACAAGGCGATGCTGATTCTTCTCCAGCTGAGCCATTCTTGATATGACTGCAGCAACACAAGATAAGAACGCTTGTATCCAGCAGTCGCTGAAGCAACAATAAACTTACCTTCAAGTGCCTGCTGCGTAATTTTCGATAAAATGAACGCCTCCTTTTGAGCATGATTCCACATCCACAGAATGCGAACCAAATCCACCGGCAATGTTGATGACTCAGCAATCCAGCTTTGTCCACGAGGCGATGCCACAATTTCAGTGACCGTTTGAAGCAAGGTGTAAAGCACTTCAAGTCGTTCTGTATTCTTAGTCGCATCACGATCAACACTCGAGCTGACGCAGAAATTGAGAGCTTTCTCCAAATTAATCAGGCTAGGCTGCTCCAGCAGTAGCTTACCTTTGAAGGATGAAACGACGCACGTATCATAGAGAAGTTCTGCAGCGCAAACAGAAATTTCGAGGGATTGAGCTGCTGTCGTTCCTTCTGGAACAAGCCCATCTGCTGTGCAATAATTATGCAGAAGTAGGAGTAATAGATCATATGCATCAAACTCATAGTTGACCAGCTCTTCCGGATAGCGCTTGCACATTATGATAAGGGAGTGGAGCAGAAGCATGACATTGTTTGGGTCATGCCCAGCAGACAACAAAGATGGTCTCGGGCACGATAGAACCCAGTAAGCTTCTTGTAGCTTTTTCAACCTGTCATCCAGAACAAAAAGTCAACGCTGCAGGTAACAAGCGCCAGAAATTTGAACACGCACTTTGTAGTAAATTCACTCGCAGAGATGCTTGACGAATGTAAAATTCGAGATTTTTCCTTGAAGGCAGTTTGGATAGCGGCATCGTATTCTTCCACATCTTCCTCGTTGGTAAGCCCTAAAAGTTGCCGCGCTTGGCCATTGTCAATGGAACCTTGACGATGTTCTTCGATGCGCCATTCCTTCGTTAGCTCTTTCATAAAGGACACGGGGTCAGCGATGGAAAAATCACTGTGCTCACAAAACTGGCCGAGATATACTCCACCACACCAGACTTCATCGAGCAACTCCTTATATGCAACAGGCGCCATTGCACAGAATCTCCAATCACGATATGCGTTTTCTTCTAAGACTTCAGCATAATCTTGCCAATGTATTCTACATTGTGTTTGCAAGTGCTTCCGCATGGAAGCGCTCCAAATTACTTGCGGGGACTGTTTTCCATCGCGAAAAACCTTCGCAAACGCATAGGAAGACAAATTATCGAGCAAGTTGATCATACCCAAAGGAAGAATGTTTCTTAAAGCGCTTGTTTCGTCAAATCCAGCTTGATCTTTGTGTGTGGCTTTGAGCACGCCTGCCATAGCTTCAAAGTCTGATGACTCTACCAGAAATGCCAAGTAGAACAAACCCCACGAGAACAAAGATGATCTACTTGACACGCCTTCTTCAAAAATTTCAGTTATAGGCTGCTCATCACTGAACAAAAATTTTAGCAATGAGGCGACCTTTTCCCAAAGAACTGGATGGTTACTCCGAAGCAAAATTGGTAAAATTGGGCGAATATATCGCCAAAGCGTTGTCTTTCCTCGCGGTGGCGGAAAAATGGGCGAAGCGGAGTTGCTACTTAATAAGGAATTGCTGTGAGCAACTGAGAGTAAAACGCTGATTGCATCATGAGCCATCTGAAGCGGGTGTAGGTCTCCTCGAAGTCCCACCTCCCATCGCAATTGGGCAATATCCGTCAATTTCACTTTTGTCGATATTGGTTCGCAGGTTGGATCATCGTGACACTTCACCCGAAAAGAAGTGACATCAATGAGCTTTTCATTTCGTCGCTGCTTAAGTTTACTCAAACTGATTGATTCAACCTTTTTGCCGTCGTCACTTTCAAGAATCCAGAGCTTCTTCGTCTTAGCATCATCACCAGCAACACGTTTAGTCATGTGAGCCAGCTGGAGCAGCTGGATTGCCAGCTCCAGATTGTGTTCATTGCTAAGTACCCGCCTAGCATTTTCAGGGTGCAGGCACAGGGCACGAACGGTGCGAAGAAGACATACCAAAATTGGCGCTTGCACAGTCTCACTCATCAGCGTCCAAAGGTGATCGATTTCGTCAAAGCTTACAACGTCCATATTTCTAGCATGGGCGGCTGCCACTACCCCCATGCTCTTTATACACATTATTGACATCTCCATATCGTTTCGGTACTCTGCGTTAATAGTTTCCCGTAGTATTCGAACATATAGTGCCACCAAAACCGCACCAGGATCTCGTACAGGAACCTGTTCGGGGCTAAATTCATTAAAATCGTCCTCCAAGGTGACAGCTTCAAAATTATACAACTTGTTTTGCAGATGCGTCAACAATCTGATATAGCATCCACCCACAACTGTTTCATTGGCAAGACTTGGATATGAAACAGCATAATTTTGGTAGTTCCATTGAGTCTCCGTTCCTCCGCTACTGATTTGAAAATGAGTATACCGCTTTATCTCAGCGTACAATGCAGACCGAAGTTCCTCCCTTGTCTGCTTGTTCCAAATTATTTGAACAGACTCATGGTCCAGGGTGAGCATGTGGAATAAAAGTCGAAAATTTTCTTGCGTGTGGCAAGAGTGTGACGTGCCTCTACTTTTTTCGTTTGATGATTCATTTATTTGTAGGAAAGATGGTTTCTTGCCGCTAAAAACATCAAAAAAATTTCGTGCGACATCTCGTTTGCGAAGACGTGGTTTGTTGGTCTGAGTGTACGAGCTACGAGAAAATACTTCGTGGTTTATAAAATGGGCATGTTGTAATCCTGCTGAAGCCCCGCTCACAGAACAATTTAATTTGCGCAGCATGCGGGCCTTTGACTGCTTATTCTCAATTGGTGCCTGAAAGGAATCTCGCCTATTACGCACCAGAGTTGATCGCTGACCTGGTAATAACGAACGAGTAACGGGATTATTCAAGTCTGGCACTGACACGCAGCGATTCCTCGATTGAATACCACTAGTTTGTTTCCCGTGATTTGCCACATCACTTATAGACAATGTTTTTCGCATGATGTTCTCATGGTAAATCTCAAAGTCTGCAACTTGCTCATCTGAAATTACATCCGTTACAGCTCCTTGGGTTGGTGACTCGGTTGTCGAAGAAGCGCGTTCATCACCACTGTACTCACGCAATTGCTCCTGGTGTTCCATTTTCATAATTTCACGCTCCAGTCGATCGTAGTCTTCAATCTGCTTGGCAGTTCCGAAAGGCTGCTTCAGAAAGTGGAGAAATCCGAAGGGTATCATTCGCGATAGAAGTTGCTTCGATCGATCGTGTTGACTCATCCAAAGAGATACTAAATACCTGCTCACGCATCTCTGATCAAAAGACTCGTCAAATAACACTTGATAGAAGTGCCGCAAGACAACTCCCTCAGTCAGAGCTTTGTCGCGTATGTTTGAAGCAATGTCGGGATCGCATTCTTCAATAGTCGTCTTCAGCAAGAGAGTACCTAAAAGAAGATTATAGTACAAGGAGTAAGCACAACCACAAGGACTTAAGCTCCTTAAAGGGAAATACGTACAAGCCTCGACCGTGCTTGCGCAACGGGACCGAAAAAGAGTTTTTAGAAGAGTCGAGTATGATTTTGCCACACCACTCACTAGCATCTTGAACTCATCTTGACCAGTCGTAGTTGCCCGTGAACAAATGCAACCCTCAAGAATTTGTAGTAATCCCATCATGACGAGAGGGCCGGCCTTTGGTCTTTGGCTTAGGTTGCTTGTCTCGAGGTACATATCAATATCATTCAGACGTGTGATGAGAGATTCGGTTAAATGAGCATTCGAAAGAAAAATTTCTTTGTTTTGCGACTCCACTTCATCACAACGCTCGATGGATGTCGGGTCATCGCCTTAAACATAAATAACTAATGTATAAGCTGTATAGCTCGCACAACAATAAAAAGAGCTCTTTAAGCTTACTTGGTGGCGCATGAGCCGTCAATCGTCGTAGCAGCAGAGTTGTCCAGAATACAACAAATTCCTCGCCATTAATCAATAGATTCGCCATCGCGTCCGAAATCATATCAGCCTGTCCTATCTCTTGAAATCCGTAGTAGGACGACGAAATGCGAAATAAAGCTTGAAGCAGTGTTACTGCGGCGCGCTCTGGAACAGGTTTGATCTTCGCAACGTAATGAAGCTGGGCACACATAGGCCGCAAAGCATCCTTGATGATTGTTTGGCTGGTATTGTAGTGAATTCCGCTTGCAGAAACATTTGCATTGAATTCTGCTACAATCTCGACAAAGCTGAATATCAAGAACAGTCAGCACTGTCAGGTTAGCACTGCCAGGTAAGGTTACGATAAAAACTTACCCTCGATCGCCACTCTTTGAGGTGATGCCTACTTTACCAACAGATCCAAGACGTTGAAGATACCAAGCTCCGATTGAGGAATCGTTGAAAAAAGATTGCGTTTCAGTTGCATCTTCTACTGCCGAGAAAGGTAGTAGCCTCAAACCTCGCTGATTAACAAAACCACCGATAAAAAGCTCGGGATTCTTTTCGCAAGTCACGGAGACATCATAGATTGCACATAAAATCCCGTCACGGTCTTTAGCCATGTACGTTCGCACCTGACCATTGCGAAACTGAATGTCAAATTGCGCTGAGTCTTTCGACTCACGTACTAGACCGTAAATATCTATATACTTGTAAAACGTGACGACGTTGTCCTCGCTGTCAAGCTCCATTATTACCTCATTATGAAGTGCAAGAATTCTGTCTTGCATATTTTTGTACTTTGGTGTTACTTTTTGCACGGAAAACTCCACGAATGGCTCGCCGTTATCAAGCCCGTAGTATATTCTCTCCTCCTGAACTCTCTCCACTGTCAGATCACTCTTTGAATGAATCTTGCATCCTATTGCAGCTGCAGTCTCTTGAATACAATGATAAATCTGTGCTCTCATTTGAGAGAAGAACAGTCGACTTCGTCCAGTATAACCAATAGCAAAGCCGTCTTGTGAATCTGTAAGCATCGTCAAATGACCCATCTCCGTATAGAGATATTTAGAGCGAGTTCTGCCTTGCTGCAAGACCGTCACTCCATCCATTTCCACACGTAGTGCGCAGTCAATTGCATCTCCGTTTCTCGACCACTTGAAACATTGGACACCCGTTTCGGGTTGCATATTGCGTTGCTGGTATTGAAATTTTAGTCGATAAAGATCCGAGAGAAGCTGGGAGCGGAAGCGACAGCATAGCTTAAGCTCTTCTTCTTTCTTAGTACCTTTCAGTGTAAGCTTAAAGCCCTCTGAGTCTAACGGATCCAGACTGATATTAGTGACTGCTGTTAGCGACCATGTATTGGTGACCTCAAAATCACGCGGATCTATGGTGGAGAAGCGAGTGGGCGCCAGCGCAAATATGCGCTCGTACTTACCACGCCACGAAATCTTAACAACCTGGTACTTGGTTACAAACTCTTCGATAGGGATCTCGCTCAAAAATGCCACATTGCTCCTGGCATGTAGCACGTTGTGATACAAATCGCTGTCATGCTTTGAATTGTTTGCAGTGTTGCTTTCGCCTGAGCTGTTGCTGCGAAGACTTGACCTGATCTCGGTGGAAGGATGCCGATACAGCAAACCCTCCGACATAAGTAGACTTCAAATTAGTAGTGAAGCGGAGTCACGCAACAAAGTTTGACACGCTTGGCTATAACACTTGTATACGGTTTATATCAAGCCAATCAAATGGGAGATACGTGTGTGTTCTATCCAAACCATGCTTTTCTCTGAAGTTTCCATCTGGTAGTAGAAGCTCACATATGTGTCCAGTGCAAATCTCGCCGATCGGACACAAAAACGCGTCTTGCTGCAATCTACGAGCCACCAATTCATAAGAAGCAGCACCACCCAGCGCAAGTTTTGTGTTTATCAACGAATAAATTATCTGAATGGTGAAAGATTGACAAAATGGACCAGGACATTAATTTCGAGCTGCCTCCCCAACTCTTCACTCCTCGAGTAGCAAAAGATTCACACGCTATCAGGGCTAAGGCAAGCAATCAGCTATATAATTGATTGAAAAACAGCTGGGGGTATTCTTAAGTGTTCACTTCAGTTGATTAATGATTGATTATTGTATAACGGGGCAAGGGTGGACTGTAGTTTGTGAGCTAAATCAAAATATCGTACAATTGTACAAACTTACATTAAAATTCGGCGCAATAGTGAAAATTTGCAAGTACCGGAATATCGGTATTTAGGAAGATTAGGAAGTGGCCGTGGTACACGTAGGACATCAGAAAAGGAAGGCGGTTTCGTTATGAGAAATTGCAACACGTACTAGTCTGAATACTTAATCCTAAAGAACTTTTAAAACGCATCATCTGTGCGGTAAATAACGCGAATCAGAGTGAAAGCTTTCTGTGTGCAAAGGGCACGGCAACCTCATTGCAATTATGGTGGTGGCTTTTACTAATGGCATTGCTACTACAGGTTGGGTCCCTTTGCATGAAAGCGAATACATATTGTCGTATCCGGTTGCTCTCGTGTAGTGATGCTGTAACGAGGTATGACCCGCACTCTCATGACCTAACACCGCACACATTTGATGCAATTTCATCATTGATAACACCATATGATCGTACAGAATTTAAACTTTACTTTTTGTAAATATAAAGTCATAAATATTAAATATCAGTACTCTGAAGATGATGAGACTTCGGAAAGAAAAGGGGTCCGTGGCACTCACGGGATCATAGAAGCCTCATGTCCGACAATGATTTTGATATCTGGAACGATAAGAGCGTACATATAGTAAGTATGAGCTCAATAGAATTAAACTTATGTACTCATGAAGTAGTAGAGCGATCAAGCAGTGCCAGTTATCTTAGAGGCTCACGGTTCTACGTCTGGTAGGAGCGCCTCTTCGCGCTGCTAGCACGAAATCTAAGAGTCAAAGCTTCTTCTGCGCGAAGTGCACGGCAACTCCATTGCACTTGGTACCACTTGTACTCGATGCCACAACCGAGTCGTCAAAAGAATGTATGCTCTGCGACGGTGGAACGTCAACTGTTTGAATACGTGTGTCCTGGACAAGTTGACCCGCTGATCAAGGTCTTGTCCATCTTGGGCGCCGATTAAATCAGGGAATGAGTAGCAAAAGATCCGAAAGTGGCAAACGCTTGCCTGAAGGCTTTCAGAATGGTTTGGTGAGACACATCCACGAGCGCCTCAACTGGACTCTGGTGAAAAAACAGTTCAGTCCCGCTGATGCCGAGCGGTCAGGCATTTGGAGTATAGTACAGAGAATCTCTTTAGAAGAAAACAAAAAGGCGAGATGGCCGTGAATTCGGTCATAATCTTAACGAATCCACGCTTGCACTTAGGAGACCGCGCGGGGGAGTGGATGATTGTGTATATTTCCTCGGTAGAAGAGATGTCCCCAACACAAAGAATTGAAGCGGGAGATATCGCGGGTTTTCGCGCCACCTAGTTAGAAATACCGAATGCGTTCGAGAGTTTATCCATCCGTTAAGAGAGGCAAGAGCTGTAGACTATGTTCTAGAATTAAGAGATATCTTATCTGCAATGGCGTCAGATCCTCACCCGAGGGCGGTGTAAGTTCCAGCACCATGTAGGTGTTTGAACGAGCGCGGCGCGCACCAAAACCTTTCGCATCTACCTCACCTCTTTCTGGAAAGCTATGGGCATCTCATTAAATGCGAAGAACAATTTCGTGTTGTCAAAGATGGAAGGTGTACTGGCAGTAGAGGTATATGAGCGTGTTAGATGCAACCGATCCCAGCTTGTTAAGACAAAAAAGAGAGAAATTATAATTGCTATTCGGCAACACGATGCTTGCAGATGTATCATTTGTGTAGAAGAAGATATTTGCGTCATTTGTAACCCCTTTGCTCTCAATTAGATGGTACGGATGGCCGGCTCCAACGCAAGGCGGCCAGCGGGCGCGAGGAAGCCCTCTAAGAAATTAATGGTTTCTGCTGTACCGCGAGGAAGTCGCGATCAATGGCACTCGCCTCATAGGGGGGACTCATTCTAGGAGAGGAGTATCTTACAGCCTGAAGCTGTTGTTGTCGATATTGAGCCCCTGTAAAAGAAGAAGTCGTGTGAGTCTTTTTAGATTAAAGAGAGTCACGTGAATTGCGTAGGACTTCCGACTGTCGAAGCCATTGGACTGTACACGAAGTCACTTAAGATGCTGAATATGGATACAAGATCTGTGCGTCTTGCCAAGGAAAAAGAAGTTTGTCATGAGTCTTGTTGAGGTATTTCAAGGCTTTGACAGAATAAAGCGCTGTCTCATCATAGATCCAGATATGAGATCCTCGGTGTGGTGTGGCTAAAGCGCCATGAAACATAGATTGTGTGGAACCCAAAAACTAAGATGCTACGCACTTCTCTTATGGTGAAGCTTTTTTGTTATGAACCCACTCATTTGGTAGCAACTCGGAATGCAGAGGCGGCTGTTAGTCGTGGTATCATGTAATGGATGAGTATAGCCATTAGCCATTACACGATACCACGACCAACAGCAGAATTTTGCCAAACTCAAGGCGCGTCGCCGACATCCTTCGTATTGTCGCCCTGCGACGTTTGGATCAATCCATCACGCCCGCGAGATATATAATCTCTCGCATAGGTAAGTCTGCGACTACAGCAGCTCAGGGCCATAGCTTGAGCTCAGCTCACGGCCCATTCAACTTTCCTGGCTATTGCTGGCGTATGACGATGCAGAACGTTATGATTACTCTGATCATAAGCGTCCATGACGTCTGGGCATACTTGCCGAAATGGCACCTCAAACTCCTTCAGTAAGGGTATCCTCGCCACTTCACAAAGATACTGGGTTTGACTCTGGCGACGACGTTGACTTACAAAACGCTCCACGTGACAATGGACACCACCATTTTCGTCGACATGAGTCGGCAGCGGACGATGACAACTGGGTAATCGCTGTCCGGAGACTCGCGATGCTCTTCGAGCTCTTAAAGACGGGGTCTGTCACGATCGGGACTCCGCTGAGCGTCATGCTGGGGTCGCTTACCGCTGCGCGGAAAGCCTAGAAAGCTTGGAGCACGTTGTGTACCGGCTGCCTCATGTTGAGAATTATCGCGCTCTGTCGGAGCGGCTTCTAAATATCTAGTAGCCGAATGCGTGCGCTTCGAGCGACGGTGGAGCGCATGAGTCCGTTGGAGATGGAGATCGTTGTTCCCCGTGCTCGAAGTGGGTGGCGTACGCTTCCACTAAAGCTGAAGTTCAAGCTCCTGAAGTTCAAGCTATGTACTCCCAAGATCTATATTAAGGATCAACCTCGATACACCCTTGATTTAAAAATCAGAAACCCAAGTTTTTATTAGTAAAACCTCTGCCAGCCCTTGGGATGTTTTGCATGTAGTTCGTGCAGCGGGGCTGCCGTAGCTTTACGCTTAGAGGTAGCGTAAGTTAGGTCACCGACCTCTCGTTTTATACTTAGAACAATTACGAGTTTAGCGGATCGCAATCCGCTTACTCCAAGAGTAATTACAACCTTAACCCAAGGCTAGTTATCTCTTCCGTTAAAATCCAGAACTGACTTTATATATATTATCTGCGGCAACCCCGCCTAATTTAATTTTTTTCTAAATATGTATAGTAAAGTCTAAATACATGTATAACTACTGACTATCCAGCTCCGTACCGTATTTTTGTTTGGGTGTGGTCACACAATGCCCATCTGGTCACACCCCAGTTAGCAGGATATGTGTAACCCCGC